AGTATTCAAATGTTTGAGATTATTATGATTATTATATTTTGTTCTTTTAAAATTTTTTTTTGTTTTTATGATTTGCCCATGTTAAAGTGGAAATATAATTCAGATCACTTTTGTTTTCTGTTCATTTTCAGTAGCATTTACGTTAACACTTTCACCAGCTGTTATCCGCAGTCTGCATCACATGCATTGTGTATTGTGGTGCCATTAATGATTGTATTTATTGTTTGGGAGAATCCAGAACAACTGACATTTTATTATAAAGTTAATCACAACTACTGTACTTGACTATAAGTGGTAAAATACAATAAAAATAAGTAAAAAGGTCTCCCTGGAATTCCTCAAAAAGGAATTCTCATTTTGGTTTAGTGAAAAGTGCACTAAAGCAATTTAACGTGCACTAGGGCTGCACGATAAATCGCATGCGATATTTAACGCGCATCTTATCAGTAAAGCCGGTTCTGTAATCCGGTAAATCTCCATCACGTGCGTGCTTTCACATTGAGCAGCATTAACTACACAGAGCCGTTGTTCACTGACGAGCTGCTCAAAACTACGTTCATATTTGCGCGATTTTTTGCGCAGCTTGTCAGTGAACAACGGCTCTGTGTAGTTAATGCTGCTCCATGTGAAAGCCAGCAGGTGATGGAGATTTACCGCTGATTACAGAACCGGCTTTCTGACAAGATGCGCATTAAATATCGCATGCGATTTATCGTGCAGCCCTAATGTGCACTACAAAGTATTTAAGAAACTGAATACAAAGTTATCATATCCATCCGAGATTTAATCAAACTGTATATTTTATACCTCAGTTAATATCTGTTTGATCTTTTTTTTAATGAGATTGTTCACCTATTCAATGTCTATTAACCAAAATATTCAGTAGCCCCTCACTGCAGAACACAAGATCCAGGGGGCGTGGTTGGATCCACATCTAGGGGGTGGAGATTGGTAGGTTTAGGGGTGGAGATGGGTGGGTTTAGGGATCAGGGGATGGAGACGGGTAGGTTTAGGTATATGTAAGGTGGGAGGAGTTGGATCTGGATCCAACCACGCCCCCTGGATCTTGTGTTCTGCAGTGAGGACCATCTCAAAATACTTGCAACTGAATAACAATGTTTGTTGATGCAGAGCAATGCACATGATACCTTTAGTCTGTGCAAGTTTTGGCAATAAAATAGCCTTTTCCCTTTAGCATCATCTTTTTATGTGGGTTACAGAAGTAATGCATAAGTTATGGTGACCTCATTTGACTTGTGCATGTTTTATATATAAAATCCCATATGATGGGACTGACCTGTAATGTGCATACACTGCATGGTCCTTAATGCTCAAAAACTCCAGTAGACATAGTTAAATTGCCCTGATATATATATTCTAACATAATATGTTAGCCTGTAACTGTGTATGACTACCATCTGCTTTAATGTTAGCCATTACTGGTAAAAGTAATGAAAATGCTTGCATTATGTGAATCACTTTTAAGTTACCTTGCTCTTGATATACTCTGCGCTTTGCATGCCCATGCAGTCAGCTTTTGAGGCAAATGCACAAAAAGGTGACTTGCCAGATGTTAGGTATCGATATTCACGCAAATGCTGGGATTACATGTTAACCTGAACCTTTGCGGTTTCATTTTGCTTGACAAAGTAACACATCTGTCATAGACAAATGAATGAAACGGTCAAGATTTAATAGTTGTTTTATAGTTGAACCAAAAATAAAGATTGTCATCATTTACTCATCCTAATGCCATTTCAGACATCTAGACAACCTGTATGAAAGAATGAAAGTTGTTTAGATCACATTTACTTTTACATTTAAAATAATATTTCATTTATTATTATTATTATTATTATTATTTTAGTTTATTTTGTGTGAGTGTGTGTAATAGAAGAAAGTCATACAGGTTTGAGACAACATGAGAGTGAGTAAATGAAGACAGAATTTAAATTCTTTGGTTAACAGTAATTGAATAATTTGGATAACGTCCATTGTATTTTTTATTTATTATTATTATTATTAAAACCAATAACATTTCGAAACGAAAAATAGTTCAAAAGGACACCAACCTCTCATTTTTGTTTTTGACCTATTTACATTTCACAGAAGAGTTGTCTAGTCATTTTGTGGAATTACACTTCCCACGCTGTTATATTTGTCCTTCCGAAATGCTGCAGGGTCTGATCTGTAATTGGTATCTTTGTGACCCCTCAAGAATCTTTAGACTTGATGTCGTGCCAGACGAGGCTTGAAAATCATTTTGATACATGTGTGACTAACAATAATTATAACCACATGTGAATCTAAAGATGAGTTTCAATGTTTTGAGTGATTTTGAATTAGATTACTATATAGGTTTTGTAAAATGTAACTTTCTGTTGGTTCTGTTTGATGTTTGAAATGTTTGTTCATTTATGTAGAAATTTATTAATTTATGTTCCATTTCTATAACCTACTAATAGTTTTACTATAATGTACCTGATTTGAAATGATTCCACCGAAAAAATACTTTGTGTCCATTCAGGTACATAAAACACTTAAATGTTCATTCTGACTGAGTACTATATGTTTTGTTTTTCAGCAAGCTACTTTAAGGTGTATTGCTCTTCAGCCTGGAATGTAGCCTGATACTGCATCCATTCATGGTTTAGCCTTTCCGTTTTTGATGGAAAGGAGAAGGAATTTAGTCTGCTTTGCGTCTAATCACGTTTTGTTTGAAAGGATGTTAAATTTGCAACTTGCAATTTTTAATATAATAAATACATTGAAAATAAATATCTTGGTGTCTGTGTTGTTTGAAATGTTAAAATTTACATTACAGCAGTGGTTCTTAATCCTGGTCCATCTCTGCACATTTGTATGTCTCCCTTATCTGACACACTTTATTAGTTTGGAGTCTCTCCTAAAGAGCTGATCGTAATCAGGTGTGCAAAATATGTAGACCTGGGGTCCCCAGGTCCAGGATTATGAACTACTGCATTACCAGCATAAGGAACTAACAGCTAAACTATATATCGAGAAGGTAAAGGAGATACAATAATTTAAAAGAGTAATAATGTGCAATATGGCTTTTAATATTTATAGAGTTATATTAGTAGAGTATTTCAAAACAAGACCCTTTAATAAATCAAATCTCAACATCAAAACAGCGAAACAATTTTCGCCACGAAATGTCCTGGTAGTTCTGGACTATTAAAAGGGTCATGAACTGGAAATTAAAATTCCCTTTTGAAATATAAAAGGTCATTGTACCTTTTATATGTCCTGTATAAAACGTCCTGCAAGTTTCAGAACTCAAAACTTTCTTGTTAGTCTAAAAACAGCTTTGAAGTCAATCTGCCAAAACGACAGGTTGTGGAATGTGCCACATTATGACGTATAATAATGTGGCTAAACCCCGCCTCCGCAGAAGAAGGTCGATCAACGCCTGCTTCTACATCACTGCCTGTTTAGCCCCACCCACCGATTCGTGCATGGAGTGTAATGCCGAGTTCAGTCTACACAATATTTTTGTCGGTCACGATAGTCACTGTGTCAGATTACACGATTTTGACTCCTAAAATCTTCTCGTGTCGTGGACAAGAAACATAGACTACATGTTGCTTCCCGACCATTCATTGCGTGCCATCTTTAACGACGCGCGTGATGTCATCGAGAAGGTGAAACTAGCGACTGACTTCCGAAAACAATTGCTGAAGCGTTTCCGCTATAGTTCGCCAGCATTTTTCTTTCTTTGTTCTGTCGTGGTAGTCCCTCGATGACACATCATACAGGCAGGAGTACTGTTGCCACAGCTCCAAGAACCTTTCCTCCATCTCATAATTCCACCTAGCAGCACCATCATCTCTCTTTCGTTTTGCCATGTTTGAAACCTGAGCTTCTGTGCTGCAATTGGTCAAAATCGTGGCAAAATCGGGCTAATATCGTGTAGTCTGAACCGGGCATAACCCTGCGTTCCATTCGGAATGGCTCATCCCTATGCCCTAATCCCTTCATATCATGTGCCCACACGGAGGCGCCGTCATCAGTTGTACCCTTTGAAATCCTTCATTCCGAAGGGCCCTTTGAAGTGGCCAGTTGAGCACTTCAATTTGGAACAACCCTTCAATATGGCGGCCATGATCGTTCTCACTCCAAAGTGCCCTTCGGAGGAGGATTTATCCTGTTTGGAACACAGCGTTAATATATTAGTTTGTCAGGCAAAAGAAAACCTATGCTCAACACTGTAAATAACGAGAGAAACCAAATGATAAAGACGGCTCCGAAGACAAGACGCTGCACATTGCCAAGGTGTGGAAAAACACAGTCTTTGCATTGCCTTCCTTCTGATCCCAACATCAGGAAAGAGTGGATGAACTTTATTTTGAATGAAGCTTATTTTTATTTTTGATGTAAAAACATAATGATAACAATGATAACATTATAAGTGGACCTCAGAGAACGGTACAAAATAATTAAAAAAGGCAGTTCATGACCTCTTTAAAGGGGTAATATGATGCTGCTAGAAAGAACATTATTTTGTGTATTTGGTGTAATGAAATGTGTTTATGCGGTTTAAAGTAAAAAAAACACATTATGAATAACAATATGATATGGTCTCCTTTCCCACGTACAGCCAAAGCGGAAGCATTAGCCGTTACGCTTTTTTTGCCTAAAGGTTGCAGACTTTCCTTCCAGTGGCTTTGGTGCTGATCAGGACAGACCAAAACACAGCTGTTTGTGTTTACTGGAAAAGTCGTGTATTTAATAATTTATTTTAGATTTATTACATCGTAAGGCTGTATCAATCCGATTATAAAGGCCTATTTTATAGTACAAATGCCTCCAGTGAGACCAAAAGTAGCTATCAATAATTTGAATGGGTCCGAGCTGGGGTCTCAGTGTAAATTAGGTTTGTGCACCACTAGCGCCCTCTGGAGGAAGACAAATTCCATTAGGAAATGGTTATGAAAAAGCATGTTGTTGCAAACCAGCCCTAAATTTCCTTACACCGTTGCTTAGTTTGTTTCCAGGGGGGAAATGATTTCCGTGACACCTGCTTTAATTTAACGCGGTAGGACTGATTGTCCCTCGTTTATGTGGTAAGTGAGGCTGCCTTTATATTGCATTTCGAAATAACGTTACTTTTGTTGAAAAAGAATCAGTGAAACGAAAAAAACAAAAACAAAAAATTGGTACGTTTTAAATGAGCTGCAAGTTCAGTATTTACAATGCCTCGCAAAGGTAAGACACTTAGCTAGTTGTATTTTAATCACTAAATGCTATGTTTTTGGTTTGCATAATTATGCATAATACTTAATTACAAAAAAAAAAAAAAGCCATTGTTAAATTTGTTCGAAATGACAGTATGCCTGGAGTTGGCAGGCAATGTAACATTTCCCACACCACAAAACACACATTTTGCTTAAATAAAAGTAAGAATTGATGGTGCAAAATGGATGTAAATACAGCAAGGTGGTCTGTTTCAATCTGACATGTAAATCTTGAACTGAGGGACAAACACAAGGGCAAAATTAACACTGGAGTGTTGAACTGTTTTACAAAGGCCCATTCACAATCTGAATCAGAGTAGTTTATATGTATTTTTTTTGTGCTGTCTACAAGTGTTTAATGACAAACCTGAACAACTTCACTGGTGTGAAACTAGCACATACCCTTAATGCTGCTGGCATTGCTGAAAAAGGTGACTGTTCAAACAATTATTGTGGATTAGGCCTAAATATTCACGCATTATTTTGTATTTTCTTACATGAAAGCTATCATAACAAACAGGTTTTTTTTATTAATTTTTCACTTCTGAAAACAATATGGACCTTTTTTCACACACTGTGGTGATGCATTTCCACAACAGTTAAAACTGTAAATTTTGCAGTGTTTTTATTTTTTTTTAGTCTTCGGTTTATGGCATGACATTGTTTGTAAAAATTAATGATTTCCTATTTACCTTTATAGAGGTTTACCCTGCTTGATCATTATATATTGGCCATTTAAAAAATAAAAAAAACATTGGTTGAACCCTAAATTCAAAATCCTCTATGAAGTACCATAGAAAAGCTTAACAAGGTAACTGCTTAATCATATAATAATATATATAAATAATAATTATACCTTCTAGTAATATTTTATATTTAATCAGGGCTTTAATTTTGACATTATATAATCTGTTTTAAAGGACTAATGATAAGGATGAAATGTTCCCATCATCAGCTGAAAATTCAGGTAAAGAAATGACATTAATCCTCACTCTTATTTTGCTACAATGTTATATACAGCTGTCTTGTTCTTGTTGTTTCTGAATGAGGTAAATTCCCATAGCACACTCAAATAATCACTTGCACTTGTCAAATGTCCAGGGAAATGCTACAGTCAGCCATTATTTGGATCGTTTGCATCCTCTGAGTCCTTTGAGACCAATGGCTCTGACAGGTAAGAATTGTCAGAGGATCTTTCTTGTGCTTTTCTGAAGAGGCAACAGAAATAGCTCTCCTATATAAAATGTTGGAGACATTTAACATTTTTAATTTAAAAGTAATCTGTTTGGTAATATTTTACAATAAGTTTTGGAAAAGAAAAAAAAACTTTTTAAAAATAAATAGATATAAAAATGATATAAATTGCAAATTAAATTAAGATTTTTAAATATGTATTTCTTAATTATATAAGTTGCTTTTTAAGAAAAAAAATTGAGTCTTATTGTAAAGTGCTACCATTTATTTTTTCAACAGATATGGTGCCTATGAATCTTTTGGACTTGGGGCTTTGAACAATGAAGGTGCAGATAGCGTTGTTGATAGTTCTAATGGAGGGTACACTGACACTTGCTCATCCTGGGGTGCAGATGTCTTGTCAGATTGCATCAGGCCCTTCGTCATGTCTTCCCAAAGGTCCAGGTCTCCGTTTTCGGACAGCGGCAGAGAGAGTCCATACTCAACATCCAACCTCTCCGATTCCTCCAGCCTGTACTCTCCTTCACACTCTTGGTCAGCGCCGATTGGCTCACAGGGCAGAGACATGCAAGCATATGTGCACAGAAACTACCGGGGAATAGGTGCTGTTGTACCTGAGGCCAAAGGACAAGATGTAGGGTTACATGTACGTCTGGTGTCTAGTTTATCTATTGAGCAAAAGCAATGACTTTTAGTGTTGATCTCTTCTCTTCCACAGTGCTCTAGTAAGAACTCGTCTATTTGCATAGAGAGATACTACTCAAGATCAGCTGCTTTGGCGTTTCGAGGGACCAAGAGGAAGATGATGCAACCAGTACCTCCTTGCAAGATGGTTAAAAAAACGAGGATAGTCAGAGCAACTCCCAGCATAAGCACCATTGTGGGTATGTGATGTGCTGCTTTGATAGACCAAACATGATTTTAAAAAGGGACAAAGTTTCCATTGTTAAATTGTTGCACTTTCTTTACTGTATTTTTCAAAAATGTTGCCTTACGTTGATGCTTACAATGCTTTATTTGTTCTTTTTTTTTTTAGGACCACACATTTCAAAGGTAGGAATTCACAATCAAAGATGCCTCCAAATCAGTCCTGTGATACTAGAGTTTTTCTTTTCTACAGGACAGTTGTATTTCTTCCGATACCAAGGAAATAAATAAAGAGCATGGTATGTAATGGCTTTTATATTTCTGTTGTTTATTAAATTGGAAAAAATTATATTAACCACCATAATTCAATACAAGCATGGTTTAAAGGGTTAGTTAATTAAAAAATGAAAATTCTGTCATTAATTACTCACCCTCATATGATATCATTCCAAACTCGTAAGACCTTCGTTCATCTTCAGAACACAAATTAAGATATTTTTGATGAAATATGAGAGCTTTCTGACTCTCCATAGACAGCAACGCAACTGACACGTTCAAGGTCCAGGAAAGTAGTAAGGACATCATTAAAATAGTCCTTGTGACATCAGTGGTTAAACCTTAATTTTATGGAGCTACAAGAATACTTTTTGTGTACAAAGATAACAAAAATAACGACTTTATTCAACAATTTCTTCTCTTCCGTATCAGTCTTCCACACGCTTTCACGAGAGTACCACAACGTGTGTGTGGTGCTGCTGACGCAGGAGCCGGCGTTCTGATGTAGAACGTCCATCTTTCTTAGTTCATTCTCTGTATATTCTGGTTCAAATAAGTAAGGCTGGGCAAGTCATCCTCTCTGTAAAAATCTTCAGACATGTTTACAAAGACTGTTTTGTGTAGGCTACACCATGCGTTTTCCTCTGCTTGTAAACTCCTGAACGCACGGTGAAGACTGACACGGAAGAGAAAAAATAGTTGAATAAAGTCGTTATTTTTTGTTTTCTTTGCGCACAAAAAGTACCACTGGTGTCACATGGACTATTTTAATGATGTCCTTAAATACTGTCCTGGGCCTTAAACGTGTCAGTTGCGTTACTGTCTATGCAGGGTCAGAAAGCTCTCGGATTTCATCAAAAATATCTTAATTTGTGTTCCGAAGATGAACAAATGTTTTGCGTTTTTGAGGGTGAGTAATAGTGACAGAATTCTCATTTTTGAATGAACTAACCCTTTAATATTTGAGTGTAGAGCTTGGTAAGAGAGTTCGAGCCAGAGAGAAGCGTAGAAGACGACGCAGGAAGAATCATGAAAAATACGGAGACAAGCACAGGTGAACATTGAAATTTCAACTGACTCATCACTTGTGTTTTTAAACCATATCTAGATTGATTTGCTGGATATCAATTTATTATTTAAATCTATTAAAAAAATGTAAATAATAATTATTATTTGAGGCAGAACTTGATGACTTTCTGCTGTATTTCTTTTAGAAGCAGTGAAATGTTGACTTGTGATATGTGGAAAGGCCATAGAATTTAAATTGCAACTACAAAATATTTCAAATTATACATTTGCATCAGTTATTCAAAAAACATTTAGCAATAAATGTCAAGTTAAATGCAAATTTATGTCACTTTAGTATTCATAGCATGCTATTTATTTATTTTGTAGGTGGGCTTTTACATGTGCTTTTTGTAAATTCCACACATTTGAAGACAAAGACATTGAGAAACACTTTGGAAGTACATATCACAGAGAGACTCTTGACTATATACGACGGCAAGCCAAATTTGATGACAAGGTCATCAGTTTTTTGCATGTAAGACTTATGAAATCATTTTCTTTCCTTGATGTTTTAGTCTGGATTTGTATTATATTTGTTCATGTACATTTACCCCATTCTAATATTGCACAGGATTGCATGGTTCACAAGTTTCATAAAACTGTCTCTACCCTACACAAACTAAAGTTTTCCTGTGGACGAAGCAAAGATGAATGGGCAAAAATAATGGAAGGTATGACTCTTTCTCATTTTGCTTGAATATCTTGTCTTTTTCCCTCCTCTCAAAGGCTTATAAAGAGCAGTTAAAAAGAGACAGCGTGGTCACAGCTAAAGCCATAATAAATAACGATAATGTGAAGGTGCGCTATGAGAAGTACATGAAGGTAATGATATTTGTGACATATTAGAACACATTTAGAAAATACGTTTTTTTGAAAGAATATTTAAAGGTATATCTCTTTTTGTTTTACAGGGAGAAGACCCATTTGCAAATGATGCCAATGACACGAGTTCTGATTCTCAGGATCCTGAGAGATCTGATGAGGCGGAGGAAGATGAAGAAAATAGTGACTCATAATAATGGTCAAAAGGAGTATTGAATGGAGGGAAAGGACTCTTTGTACTGTACTTTTCTGTAACTTCAAATGCTCAGGCATCTATACATTTCACATGACCTTGCAATGTCCTCTGATAAAAGTGTGCATTTTCCTCCCTTTTTTTTATTGTTGTATTCACAGTGCAGACTGAGATGAATTCTGTCTACTTGGGTCAGGTTGTACTGTGTTTGTAGTATCTGTGCGGGTTTGTAATAATATTTTGCCACTGTTCTGAATGTCTTTAAACCTAACAGCTTCATATTTAAATGCAGATGTTACATTTTGTTCCCTATAATATTTGGGATTGGAAATTTGCCTTTTCACTGTTTGTTCTGAGATGAGATGGTGTGTTGACCATTACATTTTCACTTTAAACTAGACTTGCTTCTTGTGAAAATATGAATATATCATTCATTTTACCCATTAGAACTTTATGTACGGCCATTCTGTAGGAAGAATACTTGCACCAGCTGCACTGGAAGTCCCTCTACTGGAAGAAACAAATAATGATAGCTCGGAGCAACTTAAAAGGAAATATCTGTATGGAATGAAATCAAACTGGCTCGAAATAAAGGTTATATCAGTAGGACCACTGACACATTTTATTTAAGCAATTAACTTCCACTTCCCTTCATAAATGTTGCGTGCAATAACAAAATACCAAGATTGCAATTCAATTTGATTAAAGTTCATTTTTTTATTTACATTTTGTTTATATAGGCCTACGTTTTAAACATACATATTTTAATCAGTGACGTGAATAACACTGATTATCTCTTCATCACGGCACCTGTTAGTGGGTAGGATATATTAGGCAGCGAAGTAGGAAAAATGGGCAAGCGTAAGGATTTGAGTGAGTTTGACAAGGGCCAAATTGTGATGGCTAGACGACTGGGTCAGAGCATCTCCAAAACTGCAGCTCTTGTGGGG